ACAGTCTTTACAGCCATCTCAGAAAAGTAGTTGTGTTGAAGAATAACCGCTAATTACAAACCTGTATACGTGTATGTTTACTTATTTCTTTTATTTTATTACTTCACTTGACTGGGACACGGCTCAGTGATCAATAGATTAAATAAAGAAAACATAATGTATTATGTATATACAGTATGTGACTTATGGGAAACCATCAGTGGATTTTCCCGTTTCATGTGACCCTACAAACTTTCCAATGAACCCTACTGACACTATTATATTATAAAACACTATTACTCCGCTGCTGACGCACAAGCTGTTAATGAAATCTGAAAATCTCTCTCTTTTGTTGTTGTTGTTGTTGTTGTTGTTGTTGTTGTTGTTGTTGTTCCGAAGGCCTAAGAAAAGAGCATTGTTCCTCTTTGAATTGTGTGAGACTGCGGTGCAATCTCTGCTTTGGTCTGCTACTTTATTGACAAGGTGAGGGAACATGGTTGGTATCTCCTGTTATGTTAAGCAGCCTCGATTATCTCTGCTGATAGAGGGCTTAGTGGGATGTAGCCAAACGTAACACTGGAACAAAACACTGCTGCGGCGGTGCAGTTTTAAAAACATGACCGTGAAGGGAATGTGAGTGTCGACAAAGAGCATCTTTTAAATACGGATGCTTTTAGTAAATATAGTAAATAAGTTCCATACTTCCTGTTGTGTCCTTTCAGCAGAAAGCACATAAAACGCCATTGTTTGGAAGACGGCCTCAGGAGGAAATTGAATTCCTGATTCTAGAAACTATTTATAAATCCAGAGAGACGCAGATATGAACAGAAAATAAGCCCCCTGCTGTCTTGTTTTATTTTTGTTTGCAGTCTAAGAATATGCCAATAATATTGGAGGAGCTGAAAACGCCCAGAGCCAGACTGCGACTGAGGCCAGACTGATGACAATTCATTTCAAATGCAGGAAAAAACCTTTTAAGAAAACGCACTGATACTCACTGAGTAAATGTTAACATTGCTTAATGTCGTTTATGCTCACCAGGATATGCACCGGTGACTTGGAGGATTATTCCAACTGACAGTACATCTGCACCAATGAAACAGCCCCTGAGAAATAAGCTGATCATGCTGTGAAAGAAACTTAATAACCTGTCTGCCTCACTTAAACGCCAACGAGTTTTGATTTCAAATAAATCCTTTGTGAAATTTCAATTACAGCATCAAAGCTGTAATCTGCCCTCAGAGGGACAGAGTCGTTATCGCCGAGCTCGGCGAATGGTCATTGCAGCCATGTTGACAGAGAGTTCAATAGCGACATTACTCGTCATCACGATTCCTTCCACGCCGGTGGCTTTGAATAACACTGACTACAATAAGTGTCATAGAACAGGTATTAATGTTTTTGTAATACCGCTTATCGCCACACGGGGCGGTAATGTGTTGAAAATACACCACAGTCCAAAAACCTTTTTTTAGAGGCTTTTCTTCCAATTTAAAAATCACACTTGCACTGAAGCACCAGTAAGCCGTCTAATGTGAGGGCTAAAGATGGCATCCTCTTTACCTTGTTCCATGGAATGACTTTCATGCTCAGCTGCTGTCCAATTTTAGCTCCAGGAGTTGCTAGGCAACAGGAGCTTCCTTATTACAAGTGTATTCTGGGAAATGATGGGACCATAAATGAACATTGCAGATCTGTAACTTGTTCTCAGCCTTAAACACCGGTGTCATGTGGGTCGATTAAAGAGAAGGATGTTATGCAAATGGACCTTCAGGTCATTCAGCAGAGTCACTTCACTGTTTGCTTTGTCCTGCCGGGAGAAGCAGACAGGTCGGGTTTGAAGGGTTCAGCTCTATCACAACAGGAAAAGAGGGGAAGTCTGTGAGCTAAGAAGGGTTTTTATTTTCATTATAGAGCCACTAATTCGAGGACATTTTAAAACCTATATTTCTGCAGCGTACAGTCGGCAGAGAGGAGGCTCTGAGAGCTGCATCAGTGAGGAGAACTGTACATCATTATTGCAAGTGCATTGTGGGAACCGATAGGACCAATAAATGGATTCTCCAGATCTCCAACTTATAATTTCCCCTCAACATTACTGCATGGGTCGATACAGAAGAGGGATGCTGTTGAAATGGCCTTTTGTTTCATTTAGTCAATGGCAATATAGTCGACGATAAGACAGCGTAGCATACAGCAAGCACGCTGATGACTGCAACGTTCAGCCGGGCTGACAGAGTGAGAAACGTGAGCTTTTTAACCCTTAAATGTAAAATTTGACACCTCAAGAAAAGGTGGAGAGAAGAAAAACCACAAACCAATCTGCTGCAGTGGTTCCCAACCAGAGGCACGTGTACTCCACAGGGTGCTTCTGCAGTTACAGCTCCAGGGGCGACACGGGAAGATCATGGGGTGGCTAAAGCTAAGACGCAAAAATAGAAATCATGCATACATCCATATATTTGTGTTTGAGAGGAAAATAATCACACACGTGGAAATTTAAAATTGCTGATAGTGTGTAATTATCAGGACAGTCACTTATAACTCAAGTGTTGCATCTGAGAGTGCATCAAAAACCAGCCAGCAAGAAGCTTAAAGCAGTTGATGAGTGAGTGAAATGTCCAAATTCTGCCACTCTTATCAAACATTGATAAATCCGACACAGCCAATTTCTGCAGAAGCAATTCCACGAAGCCATCCCATCTAACGTGGGAGAACATGAGCCAATCTGACGGGGCTGTGGAGAAACACTGGACATCAAAAAAAAAAAAAAAGCTGTAGAAGCACAAATGAACTGTACAGTGACTACAGCAATTTAACCAGGAAGCATTCTAATGCTGCCACCACGGTGTGAATTAATGAATCCTCTAAATCACATTAACAGCAAAGACTAACCACTGCTGCAGGGCATTAGCTAAATCTTAATCACCTGCCAGAGGGGATCCAGGTGCCTCATTCTAGGCGATAACTACTGAGAGCCAACACCTGACCGATAATGCTGCCCTTTAATTAAAACATTTCCCTCACTCGTGTCCTGTTTTTATATATATATACATGTATATAAAAGGCCAATACAGTTCTCTGCACAACTTTGCTGCTGTCTCACATTGCTCAGGTCATCGGGCTCTGCAGAGAGAGCTGTTGTGCACACAAATTGTGCATTGCTTAAAAAGCAGCCAGCTAAGACATATTATATGATCATGGCAGATACATATCACATAAATGGGGCAGCTAACTAGATTATATGGGCCCTGGCTGCAGAGCGGCTAATGGAAGCTGTGGCGTAGAGGGAATAAGACCTGTTAGCTGACTGTGTTTGCCTGAAATGCTAGCCCGCCAGGCCTTTTCACCACTGTTCTCACAGAGACAAATCCCTGTTGCACTTAGTAGTCATCCATTTTTAATGCCAGAGCCTCAGCTGGAGAGATGCATGAAGACAGTGGAGGGAGGGGGAGGGGAGGGGGGGGGGGCAGCAAGGGAGGGAGGAACAGCAAAGGTGTGGATGACACCAGCCGGATGCTTCAGGCTAATGTATGTACAGTGTTCTTGATGTGTTTTTGTACTGTATGTGCAGCGTCAGCAGCAATTATGAACGTCTGAGGTTGTTTTGCTGGGGCAGACAGTAAAGCCATTCATGAACTCATCATGGTTTGACTCTATTTATTGTTTCCCTTCCCTGCTGCAGTAACTTATAAGCCCTCCCAGCTGCACCACTGTGCACAGCTCAGACTTTTTCCCAAAAAAACAAGAAGCGGCAGAAAAAAAGCTTCCTGACTGTTTTTTGAGCCCCTTAATATGTCTGCAGCAGCCATTCCACAGATGGCAGGCGGAGAGGGCCGGGAGGGCCAGCTATTCAATCCACTTCAGTGCAAACATGATCTGTTTGAATGGCGAGGCATAAGCCAAGACATTCTTGTGTGGGCAGACCTCCCTAAACAGCCTCGAACAAACCGTGGCACTGTGTTTGTCCTTCAGAGACAAATCTTTAAGATTGGAGAGCAGCAGATCGGGTTTGAGTTTGTCCCCAAGCAGAGGTTAAAGGGAAAGTTTTTCTTTACTGAAAGTGAAGTTACAGTATGTACATGAGGCCTCAGCTCTTGATCCACATCCAGTGTGTGTCTCAGTCAGTCAGTTAGCAGGCCAATTAGGGCGAGAAGAGCCACTGCTGTAAATGTGTTTTTACTCCACTTCCCTGCTTCATTTAATCAGCCCATCTGCTAATCACTACTCCAGTCAGCTAAACTGTCATTTGAGACGCTCACACAACTTTTGTGTTCACAAAAAGGGTTCACACACACACACACACATACACACACACACACACACACACACTGACTCAGTCAAACACAACCACATAGCTCCAAATATTTGATAAGTTTTTATTTCTCTAGTGAATTCATATGTTGTTATTCTGCACAGCAGCATACAGGAAATTGTGGTAAAATATAAATAACAAAGTTCAACAGTGTTTTCTTTTTCTCTTATTCATTTAATCAAAAAAAAAAAAAAAATCCTCTGTTAAAAGTGGCAAATTTCGTCAGCCTCTCTCAGTATCCACTCTCTTGCACACTCTCTCGAGAATGTAACATTGAACAACTAAACTTTCAAAGTATGGGTATAATCATTATTTACAGACAATCACCTTTTGGTGAGCAATGCTTATAGCTTCATGGAAATTCACTTCCATAATGTTAAATGCAACAAAATGAAAATACAATTATGTTATACAAAGATCAAAAATACTATCAAAACCCTTATTATAAATGGCAGCACTATATCAATAAACTGCTGTTGACATTTTTACATGTTAAGTACAAAATCCTGTTGAGGTAGCGCCCTCTGAAGTCACTTGTAATGTTAAAATACTGAATAAACATCACTTTATATACAATACAGCAAATCTCTCTTCTTTCTTCAATGCAATTGTATTTCCTTTGGTAAACAAAACTGTCAGAAATGTGCAGTCCTGCAAGTGACACTTTCAATCATACATTCACAACATTTTTGCATCTTTTTTCTCCTTTTTTTTTTGGGTTCTTCAGAAAAGAAATGATGGGATAACATGTCGCCTTGGTTTGCTAACATTCATTTGCTCTTGTTTTTGTTGTTTTTGTTTGTTTGTTTGTTTGTTTTTTGCACCACTCGCTCAGAGCTAGCTGAAAAGGTAAATGGGACTCACTCCTGCTTGATATTGCAGAGCAGACCTGCCCATGAGGCTCTCTAGTGAATGCAATGTCAGGGCAAATCAAAACAAACAAAAAATAAAAGCCAGAGAGAAAAAGAGAGACCTGACAAGAGAAAAGAAATCCAGTGTGTCGCCCTTACTTGGGAATGTAAACATAAAAAAAATGAAGGCTAGTATCTCTCATTTCTGTCTGCTTGGAGAGTCAAATTCTCATCACATAGGATTGGAAAAGAGGTTTGGCTTAGCAACAACTGATTATAACGTCCCCCAGAGAATATGAGCCCTAAACAGAGGCCACATTGTCTTTCTTTCTTTCTTTCTTTCATTCTTTCTTTCTCTTTTCTTCCTGCCTCACAGATTGAATGTCAACTTTTTAAAGCAAGTTGGAAAATATGCTGTGGAGCTTTTAGGCAGGCAGATGGGATCAAAGAGTTCCTCCTCCTCCAGTCAGACGCACACAAGTACTCATTAATGACACATTCTTGAGCTTCTTTTAATGGCAAAACATAACTTTGGTTTTCTAAGACGAGAAAGAAAAAATAGTAGCGAGCTTAGCTCACTGTACAAAAATACTCGGTAGAAATATGACATTCATCCCCTTTGCCAATGTCAGTGTGTTTCCCTACATCACCAAAATACTTCTTTTCTAATTTATTCACACTTTGTGATTATTGATACATAGGTGTATTTATATGCACACGCTCAAATGACTACAAACTAGAAAGAAAAATAAATCCAATGTATAAAGCATAAAATTATTCTATGTGGATAAAGGAACTATAAAAATATAAGAGATCTTAGAGAAAAACAAAAAAAGATAAAATCAATATGTTTATGAAACTGGGATAAAGGCTACAGCCGAAATCAAAACAGTCATCTGGAAATTGTTCAGTGCAATTCAATTTACTTTATAGTCTCGTCTGTTTTAGAATATTTTCATCCTCTTACCACCCACTGCCCTCCCCCCCTTTAATGGTCGCTGGGATGGCTGGTCTTTTGACAGTGGACAGTATTTTATCGTGTGGGCATTGTCCCCGTTGGCACTGCACAGGGGACAGGTATAAGCCCTCAGAATCGGGCACACGACCCTGCCGTCCGGGGTCTTCAGGACGTGGGAGCCGTACACCTCCTCGGGCGCTCCGTTATTTCGGCAGAAGACGCAGATTTTGGGCTCCTGCTTGCTCCTGGAAGCGGGTTTGCGCATCTTCCTCTCCATGCCGAACAGATCAAACCCCGCGAAGCTCCCACCAAAGCCCACCTCCCGCTCCGGCAGCTGGACGCCGAGCTGGTTTTGGAAGGGGCTCAGTATCGAGAAACGCTCTTTCAAGTCCAGGATGGAGGCCGGCGGGGGGCTCCCGGACGGGCAGCAGCAGTCCAGGTGCCCGCTCTCTCCAACGCCGCCCGCGATTACGCACGGACACGCCGGGGAATCGTCCAAGCCCAGGGTCGCTTTCAGGGACTCGGTGATGGAGTTGGGGTTCTGGGGCATGCTGAGCTTATTATTCTTCGTAACCAACGTAGTCAGCCCGAGATAGTCGTTCCAGAAATTGAAAGTGTAGTCATATGGGCTGCGCGCGTTCAAATAGTTGTGGTTGAGAAAATCCATGGCCACTTCTGGTCGTTTGCTTGCCGGTAAAAAGGTGAAACAACCAGAGTAATCCGTAAAGTCTTTGTAGCCAGAGTACGTCTCCAGGAATGGCTCATGTACAGCGGTGTGGTCTCCTGTGCTCCTGTTATGATTGAGCGTCCTGCAAACAGGCTTTCTGGTTATAAGGACCAGGAGGGCGGGGCGCTCTCCCTTCAAAACCAAGTTTCTGATCAGGTTGAAAGCAGACTCCCTTTCTTCAAAGCCACATTCAGACACATTTGTTTTCCTGTGGGCAGGAGCTTTTGTCCACATCAGGCATCATTCTGGCGTTTAGAGATTCGGGGGTGGGGGGTGGGGGGGTTATACGAGCAAAAAGTTGTTCACGATTTGTGCAGAGAAATAATTTGGCGCACAAAGCCTCACTGTAGTTCATGGCATTATTTCAGCGCTGGTAGTAACCAGTTAGAGGAGGATGGCTCCGATCTTTGTCCCCAAACTCACGTCACTAGAACAGTGCAGTGCAGTGCTGCGTGTTTTGTGAATTAATATCGTTGTGCACAAACACCATCAACGCAAACAAAAAAAAAAAAACCGCCTTCACACACCTTAACCCTTTGTGTGCCAAGAGCAGAGGCCCTTTGTTCCGTGCAGCAGGCATCCTCTCACTGTCCTGGGAGGAATCATCCGTGCTGATGCATCATGTTATGTTAAAATTGAATCAACATGAGGCAAATATATTCACGCAGAGGAGGTTTTATGGCTCCATTTATACTACTAATCTGCACAGGGTGGATTTTAGATTATATAATGGGTGGTTACAATTACGATTTTTCACAATAAAGTGTTTTTTCTTCATCACAACACATTCTACCAGCTGAAAATACAGGGCGTACTCTTAGAAATATACTCTGGAAATATCCAATCTGCTTTAACTTTGAAAAGTTTGTTTGTAGACAGTAAAAATCTGCAGAAGTTGTGTGATCCCCTCTGGAGTCAAAGGTTTGTTTACCTCCAGAATCAAACAAACCTTTCATGACATCCCAGTTTGCATTAAACTCGTGTCTGTTTGTGACATTTTCTCCGTCCCGGCATGAAAAACCTCCATAAAATCCAGACAAAACATCACCTCCATCCACGTAATCGTGATGTAAACATGACATGCAGAGCGGCTTTTCAACAGGGGGCAGCATAGTGCAATTACAGGTCACTTCATTTTAAACTGAAAAGACCCCTGCCTCCCTTCTCTTCCTCCCTTCAGTGAACGAGAGTGCCGAACAAAACCTACAGTAATGATGACGGCCACTGGCTGGAAGATGAAAGCCAGCCGTGACGTCCCTCACGCCAGATGTCATTAGTTTGTCCTGATCCCTCTGAAACAGCAGAGAGGAGCACACAACCAAACCACAGAGATTCCAGTCGATGGAATGGAAGACTCAGAACCTGAATGATAAACATCTGGATGAAGGTCTGATGTACAACTAACGTGAAGCCATGTAACAAAAAAAAAAACCTTAAGCACTACGCGTTGTTGTCAAAGGGACATTTCACACAAATCCCAGAACAATGCATCCTCTCACTTACCTCCAGTTGTCTCTTACACTGACTTTAAATACGAGTCTTCTCTCCAGGAAGTGAGAGAAGACTGATGCAAGTTTCCCCATTGTTGTTGTTAATCCACAGAACTCACTGACAACAGTTTTCATGGGGACTGTCTGATGTCTAAGTGATGTTGGTCGACCTGGTTGTTCTGTGACGGATTGATCACGTTGACTTTAGCTTTAGTTTTACTTGAAAACACTGAGTTGTGGGACAAATCAAACAACCGCTGCCCGTCCTTCAGCAGCCGTAGACCTTTAATATAAGGAGAGTGTGCGGTCTCTTCTTGTCTGTTTCCGTTTGTGTGGTGTGCACATATCTGGAGAGCTCATTGCACGTAGACTGATTCGTATAATCTGCTGATCCCGGGATGTCTTGCACCGTTTGTTTTCATTATGAAGCCCCCTGTCTTTTTAAATGTACAGTGAAATTACAGCACACTGGCTCTCTGTCAGTTCCTGCGGGGATCCATATTTTGATTTATTTATTTATTTTTTTTGAGGTAAAATCCAGAGGGAGCGTGATGCAGCCGTCCTAAACGGTCCACTTCAGCACGGGCCTCTGATCCTGCGATGAAGCAGGCAGCTCAGGAATGTGGAAGCAGGCCCTCTTGAAACAACGATAACACGAGTGACTGGTGTTCTAATTAAAACTTCCAGGGGGAGGCTGCGCAAACTCACTGACTTGGAAGCTCTGCATCTATTTTTAAGGGATCTAATAAGAATGCACTTACTGTCGGAGACAGAGCGATAAAATAGCAGAACAAAAGCGCGGTTCAGTGACCTCTGATGTTTTTAGAGGCCATTTCTCTCTGTTCTGTGTGTTCAGCAAGATGCTTTAAAACAGTATCGACTGCTCATTGGATTTTCACTCCGCGGCTCCCATTCAGCTGGTGCAAAATATGAATTTTATGATGAAGCATTAATAATGTATGCAATCGCCAATTCTTTTTCTGCAAGCCGGGGCAGATTGTGTGAACAGATTCCTGTGTTGCTGCAGTGTAACTGAAATATTCATGGCCACATTATTCCTTAATTTTGTTGTGACTAAGAGGGATTAATACTCGTCCATTAACTAAAGCTAATTCTGCAGCCGCCTCGAGGTTGCATGGGTATATTGGACAAGGAAGTGAGATTAGCAGTGGAATGATGCATAACATCAGCGGGGTGGCTATGGCTGTAAATCGATTTAGGAATCACACTGACTAAGTGATTGTTGTGCAAGTGTTTTTTTTTTTTTTTTGCTTGACAGGGGGGGGGGGGGGGGACCCACAGCTCATCATGAAAAGTGGTGGCTGGCTGAGCAAGACACTTTGTTTTTAATGATCAAATCATATTTCCTACACGGGCTCATTAGCAATGTGAGACTTACATCTAAATTTTGCTGTTTGTGCTTCAGATGCATTATGCAATGCAAATCAGCTCAGACGAAGCCTTTTGCCGAAGTTAGGGGAATAATAATAATGTGTGATTTATACCGTCTCGTAGAGCTAATCTCCCACTGATGCTTCATGCATTGTGATTATGGCTATCAGCCCGTCCTGTGCTGTGATCCGCTCCTTTGTGTTTCGGCAAACAGGATGAGATTTGTCACATGTGGGGTGAAGACGTCTGCTTGATTCATCTTTGACAGAAGAAATGAATGATTGACGTTTTTGCGGAATGATCCTTTTCTTTCCAGCTTTATTGCTTCTGGTCTTATTGCTAGTAATAATATAAATGCATCATTGGGGCATGTTTTGAATCAGATACGGTGTCTGTAACCTCTCTGGCTAAATCAGGGAGCATTTTTTTGTTGTTGTTGTTGTTTTTTTTTGTGGCTGTCTGGTTATCCTTTCTTCTCTGATGCTTATTTCAGGGAGGCAAGCTCCAGCTCTGGCCTTGGAAAAAGTGAATGCAAGGGGAAGGATTACATGGAGCACACACTCAGGGAAGCTTTCTGCATATTACTACACTGCTGCTAGAGGCAGCTGCCATGGATAAATCATTACAATGCCTTGCTCAATGATACTTTAGATGTGGATATTCCCTCCAACTCTATTTAAGCTGATAATCCAGGCCTCGGCACCACCAAAGGGCCTTAGTAATACTCCTTTCATATAACAACCCCCCCCCCACCACCACCCTTCCATCTCCATGTTTTCAGACCAACATATTGATCAGTGAAACAATGCATAATGGGTTTGCAGGAATTGCTGAAAAATCCATTTTGCCGTATCAATTGCTGTAATGAAGATGAATGCTGAATCACTCAGTATGAAAATGGCTCATGTGCATTTGCAACCTGCATTTTTTTTTTTTTTTTATCACACATTTTCTTTTTTTTTTGCTAGTTCTTTTATTTATTTTATTTGAGCCTCAGACTCACAGATTACCACGTGTTTTCATTCGCAGCCACTAGAGCTCTGTTTGTGATTATGCAAATGAGAAAAACATGCAGGAAATTTAATCAGAGCGCAAATTTAATTTCACGTGAAAGATTGCTCAAGGGTGGGGGCTTGATCACATAATATTGAGCAACCAAATTATGTTTAATATTTGTTTTTCGCAGTGGGTCTCCACTTGGACACGCCACAGCTTTATAGGCTTAAGGTTCGCCTTGGTTTGGAGGCTTGAAGTTAACAGCGCTGCATAAGGTTTGATTATCCTTTGTTCTCCCCAGAGATGTTGAATGGAAACTGCAGTTAATGGGAAGCATTTCCATATCAGCAGCAGAAGCACTGCAGCTTGTGTTTATGCAATTTTATTATTGTTGCATCCCCTGAACCAAATATCTAAGTGCTCCGTTTTCTTTTGTTCCCCAGCTGAACAGCAAGAAAATGGGCTCTTTATAATTGCATTTAAACTCAGAGGATGCCATTGTGCCGTTGTGTGTGCCACTGTAGATAACTGGTGATTAAACTGAATGTTACTCCAGAAGCATGACAGGATTGAAACTAATAAAGCATGTCAGTCAATAAAGGAGGTGGGTCCGTTTATCAAGCTCAGAGGTGTAAAAACAAACAAATGTCAGTCGGCTGTTGAAAGAGTCTCGGCTCGGCTCGGTCGTCCTGTGACCCGCCTCCGGTTTCAAGGTAAAAGACGAGAGGGGGTTGTTGTGTCGTTCATCCCCCGTCTCAGGAAAAAAATAAATAAATAAATAAACGATAACTGTCAGTGTAGAGCTCTGAAGCCCCTGACAGTTTATTTACACCCGCTTACAAATCGACCTTGTTGTACCAATCCACATGCACATCTAGGCAGATGCAAATTAGGCTACATGTAAAAAGGTTTCCTGCCAAGAGCTGGAGAGAGGGAGAAAAAAAAAATGAAAATACTTCTGAATCAGTGTAGCAAAGCACCTTCAGAGCAAATTTGTGCAAGTTTCCCCCTGGAGATCTGAAGTTCATTTCACAACTTTTTCCTTTTTTTTTTTTTTTTGGCAGATAGCAGAAGCCGAGTGCTCGTCCTTATGTGCATAGAGCAGGAACTTAAAATGCAGATTTGTGGGGCAAAAGGTTCTCGGGTGTACCGAGCCTCAAGCACCCCCAGAAATGTAGTAGTCATGACCCCCCTCCCCCCTCCCTCCTCCCTCCTTCCACCACCACCACACATAATTCAACTGATCCGTTTGCTATTAACATTGACCTCATTTGGTTCCAGCTCACTGAGTTTACCCATGTATTTCAGCTTACTCATCATGAGGAGAACTTAGGTTGTGAAAACAGTTTTGTCTTCTGTGGTTCTGAAGGGAGTTCGCCAAAGTTAGAATACATAACCCTAATATCAGGGTTCTCTCGGCTTAGAATATAAAACCTGCTTTAAAAAAAAACAATGTTGGGTTTGATAATAATAGATGGTATTTGGGAAGGAGCAGAGGTGGGGGCGTACAAACAGGAAGTTGCAATTTGGAAATCTTGACCCATGAGGGACTAAAGTGAGGGTTTCGCAAAAGCTTTGATTTTCTGTGTGAAGGAAGCGTTGGGAGCCAAAGTTTCCAGGACTTCCTGTGTGAGTAAGCAACACAATATGCTACTGTGGTGGATCCAGAAGGGCTGCATGATATAGGAGGGGGATTATACTTTGCCAAGGAAAAAGCACTTGACCCTTGTGAGTCAGATACTTCTTTAAATTCCTTTCACCATGAAAGATGAGTTTGTTGCGGCCTCAGTTACGAGACGGTACTCAACTGCGTCTCTTGTATTCCAGCTTTATTCTACCAGAGAACAATGAGCCACTTGATGATGACCTGCATTTTAGAGTCCACTGCCCCTGGCACAAATTCACAGGTCAAAAAGGTGAATTCTGCACAAACAAGTTTATTTCACCAGCTTGAACAAAATCCAACCACAACAATTCTAGTTACATGAACTGATTAGGTGCAGATGTGGACTACTGTAATATGCATGAGGCTCTGAGATGAGTCAGTACTGAATCTTAGTTCATGAAGTCTACATGACAGAAAAAAAAAGGACAAAGATGATACAGGTTTCTTAGTGTTTATTTAAAGACATGGTCCTTGACTTCTATTGGTAAGTTGAGGGTAGGATCATATCTCCGTACATGCAGTCTTCCTCCAACGCAAGATTGTACTGGCTTCCACTTCCTCCTTTATAGGCGCTTGTCACAATCCTGAGCCAGCCCTTCTCACCCTAGAGGGAGGATAAAAAAAAATAAATAAAAAGTCTCAAGGTCGCTTGGATTATAAATCAAGCGCACCCACTGCTTTTCATTCTAACATCCAATTTTTAAAATGCCAAGTTTAAAAAGCTCCTGAACCATGTAAAACTCAGGCTGTTAAGTCACTGTGCTGTGATGACTCACCCATGGCTCTCCCCAGGAGTTGCGCACAACCCAGTATTCAGTGCCATTTTCTACTCCCCAGCCCGCCACCGACACAATGTGGTTGATGTCAGGAGTCTCGACATACTCCGAGTACAGACCCCCGGCGTACGCGTCCAGTTTCTCTGTGGCCATGATTCCACAGCTGAGGGAAGGAGGATTCAGTTGAAATGATGGGAACAGACATTTGCTGGTAAGAACTATGGAGTGATTGGAGACGGCCTCAGACTGTAGGGAAACTGAAACTCAGAACATTTCAAAAAAATGTAGGAAAAACAAATCCCTGCAAAACCATCAACCCCCCCCCAGTTTTAAAAACCTGATTGGCCCTCCAGCGTAGATCTCTGCCATCATATTTTCCCGTCCACTGATGACTCCGAAGTCACCCACCTTCCACAATGTGTAATTCTGCACGACGTTGCACTTCCCGAAAGTTGTGCAAGTCCCACATGCATTGAATAGTTTGCATTCTGGAGAGAAAACATTGATTTAAAATAAAAAAAGGCTCATCTCATGCATGGACGCATCATGGAAAAGGACACTGCTGTTTCTGGAGTTCTTACTCTGGTCGATGGCCTGGTAGTTGTTGCACGTCTCATCTGGGATGCCATGCTTGTGGGCGTACTCCCACACCCCTCCGTGGTCGCCTCCGTGACAGGTGCCGGACTCGGCGCAGTCGACCACGTGTTGGACGGACAGATAAGCAGATGGCCACACTGCTTTCCGCTTGATGTTAATGCGATCTACACAAGGCAGAGTCAAGTTCCACACAAATGCAATATTTGTTTTGGAAAAATCTCAGCTCAAGTGATTTGATGTCACTGAGAATCCCATCTGGTATTTTGTCACAAGATCTAATTTGCATTTTTTTGTTGTTGAGAAAATGGTTATATTTCTGCTTCCACCAGCAAGGCCTCAGTCCAAGTGGGTGAGCTCCAAATTCACACATGACAGAGCTGGTTTAAAAAAATAAAAATAAACCGTAATTTTGAAAGAACAGGCTCACCCAAATTATCCTCCAAAATCTTATCTACGAGTCTTTAGCATGAATGATGATGCCTTTTCCCCAGAAGGAACAGGAAACACTCTGGATAGTGCAGAGACCTTGATATGAGTAGTTTTAACTGAAACTACTCAAAAAGAAATAAATAGGAACCCAACGGCTGACAGCATATTCTGGATTTACCCAGAGGAACAGAGGCCGTTTCTGCGTAGAGACATTGCTGATGAATTTTGACTCTAATTTAAATGATGTCAGCACAAATTAAATCCTATTCAGCTTCATTTATTGGGGTGGAAGCAGAAATCTTAGACGATATCTTAAAGTAAGTTAAGTCAGGCTGAAACAAGGAGAAAACCTCACCTGCCATTGCACTGGTGCTGCCGTGAGCCCAGCAGGAGCCACAGTACTGAGGGATGTGCTGGTTACGGGTTGTGCTGGCGTAGTTGACGCCATTTACGTTCCTCCAGTCCCAGGACTTTGGCAGCTGAGCGAGGTTCAGGAGTTCGTGAGGACGGACTGCGGTTCTGAAACAGGAGAAAGCACAGCCAGGTAACGGCACAGAGCTCCGACAGGCCTCGTCACAAATGAGCAGCGGCTGAGGTATTGGGTCAAGTCTAGCATTAATCGCCGGCTAACCACTGAACGAAGGGCATTAAAATCAAGCTGGAAATGACAAAAAAAAGACATGAAGTTGCCGCCGGTGATTGAAAGGGAAACCCTGTCCTCGTATGACAACTGGATGAAAATGCAGGGACTTTTCCTTTCTTGATTTTAAGATGCAAAGTGGAGCTTTCCAGGAAAATCAAGCAGCATCCAAGTTCAGGACAAACATCCATAAGTTAGTTTCACATATGTGCAAAAATAGCCTCGGAGATACAGAGAAGGCTCTTTGGTGCTTGAAACTTTTAATTCAATTAGACTCCACTCAAGCCTGATACACTAAATTGGTTCAGTCTGAGAAGCTATCTTGTGATAATTAGTATAAAGCAGAAGCAAAAACACAGAAGGGTGAAATTGACAGTAAACTCACTTCACCCCAAAGTTGGGCTTCCTGGGCGCCGGCTGGTAGCAACTTGGCTTCTCACTAAAAAAGTGTCTCCCTGAAACAGCGAGTGTCATGAGCATGAAAATAAAAATGACTTGCTGAGCCATGTTGAGCCAGAGAGCGTCTAACAGCAAGCGACAGATACCTCTGGTTTGGTATAAATAACCTACCACAACTACTGACGGTGAGAGAGAGAGAGAGGGAGGGAGAGAGAGAAAACCTGCGGTGCCAGGTGAGAGCGATGAAGCCAATCAGGCTTCATCGATCTCACCTGGGAGCCTCCATCACTGGGAGCAGGTCACAGGGGAGAAAATGGGTGAACACATTCAGTTAGGGGGAGATTATCTTTAAAACACGTGTTCAAACTGTGACTGTCCTTCTGATTTAACACTGAACTGCTCATGTTTGATGTTGTTGCCCAGTTTACTTTGCAAACTTTACATTTAGAGAAAATAAAATATGACGAGTGATTAAAACACTTCCTGTTTTTAAAAGCTTTATGTAGTTATTTGTTTAAGATTTTTATTTTAAGGCAAGTAAAGTGAAGCGATGGAGGGGGAGAACGGCTGCGGCTCAGGGGGTAGAGTGGGTCATCTGCCGATCAGAGGGTCGGTGGTTCGATCCCCAGGTCCTGCAGTGCGAGGTTTGATGCTGAACACCGTAATTGTCCCTGGTGTGTGTAAATGTGACTCTGCCCTCTCTTCTACATAAATGCAGACCATTTAAAACATGTCTGTCGCTGATATAGTGTCAGAAAAAAAGGAAGTGGTTTGATTTTCGTGGCCAAAATGCTTCAGAGGATCCTCAGGGAATCCTCCATCAAAAGGAAGCCAACAGTACAACAGATTGACTTCGTATCGTTTGGATTATACTGACATGTTGCAGAGTGAGGATTGAAAACAAGTCACATTACCAAATCTTTAGTAGTGTGAGCCGAAGAACACAGACGCTCCATGGATGCAATTTTATGGTCAGAATCTGAGTGTTTATTCGTTTTTTAAAGTGATATTGATGCACTGATCCTTGACAGAAGCTCATCATTACGTCGCTTCATTCCCCACATGTCACTGTGTCTTTTTGTTTACGCTCTTACAGCCTCTCTGTGATAACAAAGACTTTATCAGGCTTCACTGTGAGACCGCAAACAGAGCATGATACTAATTGACTGCCTGCCTGCCATCCTCTCCCATCTGCAGGAACAGAAAGTCATATTTAATGCGCTGATTAAAATCTAATCCCTCCATGTGAGTCGGAGATGAAAGTAATTTTCATGTAATGGAGACTATTAATATTTAGATATAGAAAGGAAACCAGATCCCAGATTTGCAATCAGCTGGAGGATGGTAAATGATATTTCAGGGTGCCAGTGAGCTGGAAACCACAGGCTGCAATGCAAATAAGTTTCACTCTTCTCACATTTTTCCTTCCTCTTGTATGTTTTTCATACTTTGTCTTTCTCTCTTTTTACGCGTTATATTTCGAGCCTCTCAGTTATCGTGAACTCTGACGGCTGATACTGTGAAACCTCACCGTCTTGTGCACAATATGGCCAAAAGTATGTGGACACACGTGTTTGTTTTTTTTCTGTGTGGTTTTCATGGTACGCTGCTTCATATAATTATATTTTATACAATAGTGTGCATCCAACTTTGTGGCAGCATTTTTGGGGAAGGCCCCTTTTTGAGAAAATGGTTTTCTCAGTTTGATGTGGAGGAAATTGACCGGCTTGCACAAAACCCTGACCTCAACCCCAACCTACATTTCTGGGGACAAACTGGAAGGGGGACTGTGAGCCAGATCTTATCACCCAACATCATCAGTGTTGGATCTCACTAATGCTCTTGTGGCTGAATGGGAGCAAATCCCTGCAACAAGGATCAAAAGTCCTGTGGAAAGCCTAAAACCAGCAGAGTGGAGGCCGCTAGCAGCAGATTATTACCCACGGTTTTGGAATTGAGCTTTCCAAGTACTTTTAGATATACAGACTGTTTTTCTTCAGATGCATCGCTGAGATTAGAAAGTTTAAAATGGTTTTCAGGTTTTAAATTTCAGTTGAAGGCTCGTGTGCTCCTTTTTATAGGAGCTATTTGTAAGTTTTGCTATTGCTACGTAGCAAACGTTAGCATTAACAGCTGTTTACTTACCAGTCTAGAACGCTGTCTCCAGAGGTGACGTCTTTTCTCCTACTGAAGTTAGCATGCTAACCATCTAGCTCCGGCCCATCTCGTCACTTTCCGACAGCGACTCACTGCAGCCTCCAATCTGCCCTGAAGACGTAGCGCCGCTCAGACGGCGTATTATAATTTGTTGTATTATAAAGACAACAACGGCTGAAGCTCATGTCAAGCAACAGTCACCGCCACTTGCTCCCGGCAAGAATTCACATTCACTTACAGCTGTTGTGCTAAGCTAAGCTAACTGTTCCCTGGCTTCAGCTCCAAACTGAATAAGAGCCTGAGATATGACAATGTGTACACTCCACATGTTGCAGATGGTGTTTTTTCTTTTATTTCTCCTCTTTCTTGTGATTGGCTGGTTCGACTTGAATCAGGAAGTGCTCCACATGCGCACACATGAAAAACATGTCAGATGCAAGTTAATCGATGAGTCATTCCCGGACACGACGGCCTGTCACGGGGGCATCAGTGTGATATCTCTGTGATTAGCATCGTTAGCTGCCTTCACGAGCGTGTCCCCTCCCTCATTAATGTCAACAACATCATTAGCATGCTCGCAAGCCAGGTGATTGATAAGCAAGCGTGTTGTGTGTGTGTGTGTGTGTGTGTGTGTGTGTGTGTGAGTGATGTGTGGGCACGTGCACACATGACTGTTGATGAGTGTGTCTGCGTGTGTGTGTGTGTGTGTGTGTGCGTGTGGACCAGATAATATCCGTGTTCACTGATCCGTGTGAAACTTAGAGGTCAGTTGAGTTTCTCTGGCATTTCCTGCAGGAAGACACCTCGCCCCCGCACGCTCTCCGCTCACCTGTCACCTCTCATGAAGGAGTGAACGTGGGATTAACCGGACAGTTCACTCAAAGGAGCAGCCTGAGGCAGGTTCCTTCAGGCAGCTCGACTCCATCTCTTCATGTACCGTATTGATACTGTATTGACAGGGAGGAGGAGACAGTGCGGCCCGTTGCTCAAGGTCAGATTTAAAGCCAAACGATATCTATTTAACTTTGTTATACCAGCTCATTTTTCTCCTTCCTCGTTCTCGTAACACACATTTTCAAATCATCGTTGGTAAACAAACCCTCATACTGTAACTTTACCTCCAGATGTTCACAGATGAGGCTGCATCATGTTTAAGTTGCACCGCAGCTGTGTCACATTCTTCCCTGCAGTTGAAATGTCCTGGAGACGCAGCTGCATTTTCAATATTGTCAAGATTTTTTGCAGCTTATTCGTGATCAGTGCCAGGAGATACTTTATGACTCTACAGCTCGTACATCTGATCTTCGGCCTGTGTGTGTTAGCTCAAGGAAAACTGTGGCTAAGTAACTGAGCTGAATACATCTACATTCACAGGAGAGTTTGGAGTATTTCAGCAGTGGCTCTCAAACTTTTTCACATCAAGGACCCCTAAACATCCCAGGGTCCAACATCTGATAAGATCTTTACTTTTAGATGTTTTATTACAGAAAGTGACCAAAATAATAAATTCAATTCTGTCATTGTCTCAGTTGTTGATGGAATTATAGCGAAAAGAAATTATTCCCCCTTTTTTTTTAATATATATTTATGTTAACTTTTTCCAAGTTTTCAAGTTCCATAAGTTTCAACATCTACAAATCCATGACAAACTGACAAACCCCATCTGCTGATGAAGGTCACAGGATGTGATTTAAAGCTGCGGAACAGCTACTAAATGGATCAATGTGAGTCGGCGCCACACGTTTTTTATGCCACATGTTGCACCAAAAAGAGCAGAGAGCAACAAAAACACGGAGGGAAAGCTGGTTAAATATATATACATATATATATATACAGTGCTTTGAAAAATGCAAATGCTCGGTGTCTTACAGGCAGACGTGAGCCAGCTCTTACTGGACTTGACTTTCACTGATGGATGGAGTTTTGCACCAGGAGGAGACCATCATAACATCGTAAATCTGCATGAACCGTGTTAATGTTTCGTTTCAAGAGGTAAACTTTCATTAGAAAATTCTGTTCACTTTAAAATAAACTGCAAACTGGGGGGGCGAGTCTGAAGAGTCCGACCACAACCTGGAGACGGTCGAACTGACCTGGGACTGAAATGTTAGAAAATTTAAATGCTCTACTGCAACATGTGTGCAACTCCTTTCAGCTGCCTCTGTGAATTTGAACCTTCTTCAAGGTGACATTGTCTTTTAAAAAAAGACGTAGAGGAGCCTAATTTAATTGAAAAACATCCTTGAACTGTCTGATTAATTTAGAAACGGGGGAATTGATTTCATTAATGTTGCACGATGTTTCACCACTCGTTCTACAAAATAAAGTGAAGACATTTAAGATCCTGCGCCGCACCGAACGACTCTGTTATCATCCGCAGTCTGGATCTCTCTCGTCGTCTCGAAAGCGGCCGCGTTTTCCACTCGAGGAGTTTTCAAAAGGCTCCGTACCGAGCTCCTGCCTCCCCGAGTGGAACCACCTGTCCACCACCGCCAAATCCCCCAGCCTCAAAGTTCACAGTTGGGGGGGGGGGGACACCCTCGTCACCCAGCGAGCCATTTCACATTCGATCGGCTCAACGGATGATAACAAAGCTGCAGCGATGACAGACTTGTTAAGTACATTTCAGTCGTAAATGGTTTTTAATAGAGCATTAGAATATGGTCAGAGGACTTAAACCTGAGGAATTGGGGGGCTCGGAGGAATCCCAGTGATCTTTACCGGTCATGTCATAAAGCCGATGATGTTGACGGCCCCTGCGGTTTCGTGGGATGTGAGGGGGGATAAGAGAAGTTAAGCAGATAAGAAGGTTGCATATACATTCATTTGGAGAGACATCAGTAATTAATGTGAGATAGATGCTTAAAATGTGCAGCAAAGAAAATCGTCTCTGCACAGAATTATGCACCAAACAACACCGGCCTTAAACCACCGCTTCGCTTTACAACTCT